TTAAATTTTATTTATTTTCTATATATTTACATAATAATTTTAATAAAACGTATAATATATAAAACTATTTTTATTTTATTCTTTTATTTTCGAGTTCGAACGAACAAATTTTGGGTTAATCGAACATATTCTAAAATTTATGTATTAAATTATTCGAACTCGAACTTTGACGAGCAATTAAACGAACGAACTCGAACATGATTTTTTGCTCAAAAAATAAACGAACGAACACGAACATTGTTCGAACATAAACGAACACGAGCTCGAACAACCCAAGCTCGGTTAGGTTCGGTTCATTTACAACACTACTCCCAATTAGGATTTGATCATACAAGTTAGTCGATTTTGGAAAACATCATGCAAATGCAAAAAAAAAAACGTGATATTTCGACCTAACGCCTAGCCGATGCTTACTTAGCCGATTATGTGACTATTTGAACCTAGAGTGCTTGGCATTCCAAAAGTCCTATGAGCCACTTGTGTTAAATATTCAATTTATGTATCTATCAAAAACATTTTAACCAATATATATATGGTCGTGCTCCAGTGAGAATGGTGGCCAGTGAAATAAATAAGAAAAAAATCTTAGTCACGTAATATGATCATCACACAACCAGCACATTTTGTCTCTCTCCCAGGTACATATTAATGTTTCTCCCTCCTCTCACATGCACATACATCAATCGAGAAAGACACACGCACATCAACCAAGACTCACGGCCAATCGGTGCCATTCCCGCCGCCAAACTCCCATCGGAGTTACTTTCACCATCGTACACATCCTGCACAACGATTCCATCATTCAACTGAGCTGTCCGGCAACTCGACGAGCAGCGAGGCAATAGAGATCTGGACGGTTCTTGTCGCTAGAGATGGTGAATCGACGGCAACGGGTACAGTCGTAGAGATCAGATGTCTTGCTTTAGTGACGGCGAGATGCGGCGACCACTACCATCAGAGCCATACTCGCTAACGACCACGACCAGCAGGGGACTCGCCGTTGTCGTTGCAGAGCTGCGGTTGTCCAGCATCGCGGCGGTGTGATCCAGACAGCAGAATGATCTTCCTCTCGGCGAGTGGTTCCCGACGACAAAGACGTGGATATTGATTTTGGGGACTTGTAATTGAGAATGGGTAAATTGCGCCAAACCCCCCTGTATTATACGAAATCTGCGCGTTATCCCCCTGTATTTTAAAAATTGCGCCATACCCCTTTGTATTATACTTTTGATTGCGCGTTATCCCCTAAACCGTCTAACTTGACGGAAGTGCACTTCACGCGCGTGTGGTGCGGCTTTTTCTCCATTTTTTGGCCATAAACTCACAGAAATTACTATTTTGCCACTAATACCTGAATTATATATATATATATACATTATTATATATATATATATAATATATAATATATATATATATATT